CCTTAACGTTTCTGATTCAAATTTAATGGCTTTTTGTTTGCGCATTATAAATTAAACTTTACCTAGCTTTAGGTATCTATTAAATAATATAAAAAATAAATTTTGGATCAAACTAAAATTTTTTTGGGGAGATATGGAAAAGGCAGTTTTGAGAGTGTTTATTGCATAAAACGGCAAATTTGCCTACAAATGCCATATGGTAACAGTTTGTACATTTGAAAGATTTTAAGTGTTTTTATATGTACATATATAATTATTTTTATGATTAAAACATAATTTACGAGTTAGTCGACTATATTTTACTATTTTCTAAACTTTTAGCACGAAGTGTGCGAATAAAATGCGCGAATAAAAAATATAGTTTTTTTTTTCACTAAAACTCTTATTTTTTACTTTAGCAAAACACAAAACTTAGTTTTTTATTATTTTATATAAGAACCAAGTCTTATTAACTTAAATTTATTAATTTCGCTAACATCTGTTAAGGCTTTTTTTCATAGTTGATAAGTTTTCACAATGATGTTTTACTCTATGGTGACGCAACTGAGTAAAATCAACAAAAGAATAAACGTTAAGGTAACACTTTTTTTTGTATATCACTGTGGGGAAGTGCAATTATTTTAATTTCAATTGAATATGCTCAAAGGAGTAATTATAAAATAAATATAAATAATATAAATATATATATATATATATATATATATATATATATATATATATATATATATATATATATATATATATATATATATATATATATATATATATATATATATATATATATATATATATATATATATAATATATAATATATATATATGTATATATAAAAATTTACTTTTCATCGTAGTGAAAACATGTTTTTAACAATAAAGTAAATTCAATTTTTTTTTGTTGATGAATTATAGATTATATTTAGTGAATATAGTTTTTTACAAACTTTAGGGCTAAACTCAATAAAAGATCTCCTTTTTTTGCGGCGTTTAAAATGTTTTTTTTTTAAATTAAAGAATGTATATGTTTGTTATAAAACGATTCAATTTAGTTTTTTAGATTACGGTCTTAATGATTTTAATAAACTTTGTTGATCATGTCTTTCAAACACAGTATTTTCTCAAATAGACGATTACAAAATGCAAATAATATTGCAGATGCATGGGAGAGACTATTTCATACAGTAAAGTTGTGGTTTTTTTTTTCCATCACAATAGTTTAAACAATTCAAAAATATAAAACCGTAAGTAAGCCTGAATAATTCGTTAAGTGACAACACATTAAGGTTTTAAAATCAGAGCTTAAAATTTCAAACAATATTAGTGTTAAGTGGTAAAATATTGATTAAAATAAATATTTTCCATTCAAAATATGAGATGGAAAAAAAATCAACTTTTTGTCTATTAATAAATGTGATAATGTTAAATAAAGTTATTGAAACAAGAATGTTGAAAACAAATTAACTTTCTAATTTAAAGTTTTGTCTGGAAAGAGTTTGCTCACTGAGAAAAATTTTTTTTATGAAATTAATAAATGAATCCATTAAATAGTTACGGCACACGCAAATCTGTGTGCGTGTGTGTGTATATGTGTGTGTGTATATGCGTGTGCGTGTGTATATGTGTGTGTATATATGAGTGTCTGTGTCTGTGTGTGTGTGTGTCTGTGTGTGTATAGGCGCTGAAGACACCACAAGTATGCTATGACAAAATATTATAACAATTTTTGTCCTGCTTAGTCAAAAGTTGGACTTTTCTATATCACTAATAACGATTAAAAAATCATAGTTTTTATTTGTTTATTTATTTTAGGATTACGATGACGACATCTTTTCTATGACTGTTGTGTATTATATAAATCCTCGCTCAACAATTGGTAAACAAAACTCAGAAAACGCTGAAATACAGTTTGCAGACTATGGAGAAGATGAATATCATGATGTTGTTGTGGGTGCTCCCAAAAAAAGCTTGTTGATATTACACACACAAATATATGGTTTTTTTATATATATTTAATCTAGATTATGCTTTTAGTTCAAAATCAATTTAGGAAATGTTGACAGTCTATATTATAAAAAAATCTACTTATATTACCAGCAGGCACACAACGTTGTATTAACGTTTTATTTACGTTAGATTTTATGTTAGTATAACGTTGCCGGTTCGGCTAAATGGAAAGGTTTTGTAACGTAAAATTCTTACGTTGGATTTACGTTAGCTATTAGCGTTATATTTACCTAAAATTCTAAAGTTAGATTAACGTTATATTAAGGTAAATACAAGTTGGAAAAACATTAGCGTTTTGATTTAACGTATAATAATGATTGTAATTGTGTAATATTAAATGTTAATATAGCTTTTGTTATATTCATATAACCCTGAGCCAAAGCCCTTTATACGCAGCTTCGTGTCATGGTTATTATATGAATACAACCGTATATATTAACATTAAATGTTATACACAATTACAATCAATATTCAAAGTTAATATAAAGGTTTTTAACCCCTTACAAAGGGTTAGGAAAATATCTTTGGGGATATTCAAACTAAAAATACAATAAATGTTTTGAAAGATTTTTTTCAAAGATGTATTATATATTCTTTTGTATTATAAATTTACAAAAAAACTCAAATATAAATAATTGTTTAATGGAGAGAACTTTAAAATGCTTCCTATTTGATCTTTTGTTTGCTTTCGTCGAACTCTCGTGCGTTATCTGGATGACTTCTAAAATACAACATGGGATACTGTAAACGTGATAACAGTTAGAAATTTATTTTTGTTTATAACTGACTATTTGTTTGTTTTTTAACGCTGACATTCGTTTGTTTTTTAACGCTGACATTTAAGGTTCAAGACTTATATATATCTATCAATAAAAAATATAAGTAAGGAACAAGAGATCGATAGAACAATATTGAGCTATTATTAACGTACCAAAATTATTGCTTTAAACTACTTTTTATTTTCGAATGATACCTTCTTTATATCACCACGAATTTTGCTTTTCATATTGAACTTGGGCTTAACATGATGCTCTAAATTCTATAAAAACGTAATAACAAATAATAAATGGAAAATTAACTACTTTGTTATAGTACATTAAGTGATCCAGCGAACTTATTTAAATAACTGTAAAAACACATTAGAGTAATAATTCACAAAAAATAATTAGGAAAGATTCTTTATTTTTTTATAAACTTATAAACTCAAATTTTCGACATTGAATTAAAGGTGAAACCTGTAGGGGAGAACCTAAATGAATGGGGCAGTTTTTGTAAAATGCTTTTTAAAAGTTGATTAAGTTGCTTAATTTATACATTGAAAATTATTTGATAACCATTTACTCTCACGCTATGTGAGAGTGAATGGTTAAATTTACAAAAAGCTCAAAAACAAATTAAACTTAACTCCTCGCACCAAAACAATAAAAATTTTTCACTATTTGAAATGTGCTGTTAGTTCTCATTAATGGAACATTTTTAATGTTATGTTTGGCCCATCATATTCAGACCATGATAAGAATAATGCTTTGATCTGTTAAATTGTTGTGTTTAACATTTCTTACCGCAGGAGTTTGGATATCTAACTAATCTTAGATGCTTGTATGTAAATTCGATTTTGTCTTATTCAATAAGCGTTAAGGTTCTCCCTCACATAAATAAAAGTTGAGAGAAAATTTCATGTTGGAATAAGACAGGATTAGAATTATTTGGTTGTTTTTCACAGTTATTCAATAAAAGCAACAAAATAATAATTGCTAAACTAAATATAAGACAAAATAGTTTAACAAAAAAAATAAGACTGTAAAAAACTCTGCAGAATGTAAATGGTTATCAGGTCACTAGAATAATTCTCGATTTTTAAGTAGGAATTTACTTTTTACACCATGTTGTGGTAAAATATAAGAATGATTTAAATAGCCTCATCAAGAAAACGATGAACTTAAATAGCATTCTATTAAACAGACAAACTTTACAAATAGAAATTATAAATATAAATTACCAATTTACTGTTCTCCCCGATGTCTTTTAATCTGGTTTCAAGCTCATAAAATTCCTCAAAGGACTCTATCTTTTTGAAAATGGTTATGCTTACACTTTCTGACTTTTTATTGGCACATTAGCAAAACCTTTTCTCAAGAATTAATTGAAGTTGTATATATAATACTAAAAACCATTTGCAAATAATAACTCATACATATGCAAAAATTCACATTAAAAATCATCACAGTTATTTGGCTTGATATCACTAACAAATAATGCTAGAGTAAATGGTGTCATTTTGTCAAAAATACATAATATAGGACAAACCTGTGTGTTTGATGACTTTAATCAGGAAATGTCATCTACATTGACAACTGAGGAAATTGTGTTTGACTCAAATATATTATGCTGGTTGATTGCTAAAGTTCTTGATTTGTCATTTGAAATACCAAGATAAACATATTTAGCCCCACATTTTAACTTGCTTGGAATATTCCTAGGAGTATTTAAAATTTTCCTTGTACATTTTGTTAAATCAACATTATAACTATACTAGTGTAAATAGTTAACAAATCGTTACTTGGATTTCTAATTATTCTGTGTTTTAATATCCATTTGGCAATCTCTGTAACAAGTACTCCGTTATGAAGATCTTTATTTTTATCACTCACAGGAACCTCAGAGTCTAGATTATAACTCTCAGTTCTAGAAGTATATTTATGATCATAGACAAAATCAAAGGCATATAGTTCTTAATTTCAATGTTTTTAAAATCAATTCAACTCTCGACTCTATTAATATTAGATTTGACATGTGATGTGAGTCAATTTCTTCATTTACAAGTACATTGTTTGAGGCTCGATTACTTTGGCGCCATTCCCTCAAGTATTGATTTTTCTCTTGTTTATTCATTTTTATTATTCTAAAATAAACACAAATTTTAGTTGTTTTAACAATAACAAGCAGGCTTGGTCGGGAAGCGGGAGCGATCGCTCTCAAATGCTGACCACGTAAATTATATTTAGTTGCGAAGAACTGGCCAGGTTTTTTAGTCATTTTGAGAACATTTAAGTTTATCTACGAAACAAAAAAAGTTTGTTTTACGGACATACATGGAAACATAATAAACTTGAATGTTCTTGTGCAATAGAATAAAAAGAATATTTGCAAACATTAAAAACCCGCAAAATTAACGATGAAACTAATTCTATTGGTTCAAAAAATACGCAGACTTAACGAAATAAAGTTCTAGAGTATTCTGTTGAAATGTTTTAGAAATAGTATTATTCACGATTTGTTACGTTTTGATATTTCTAGCATAAATTGTTTTAAGAACATATATTGTTTGTTTACAAAAATAAATGCTTTAAATATATATTAATTAAATTGTCAAATTTTTAAAAGTTTATTATAAATTATAGATTTTTTTAGTATATTCTTATTTTTTATTTAAAAAGTATGCATTCTTTATGTAAATGTAATTGCGAGTAGCTGTTTTTTATCGTAATGTATCTTTTAAAGCAATTTTTATGATTTAAACAAAGACTTACAAAAATAATTGCGTTTTCAATTAAGTTATAATCGTTATAGTTAATATAACTAATTATGTAACAAACATATAAGAAGTTACTGGTTACTAAATACAAACAACGTACACAAAGTAACTCGCGGATGAACAAGCACCGCGCCTGAGGTCACGACAGAACACAAATATATAGAGCAAATACTTAGATATAAAGAAAAGTTTTTATATATTGGTTTACTAACTCTAATTATTTTTGCTTAAGTTGCCATTCTTGAAAATCGTTATACTTTTTTCTGCTTTAAATCCTAATTAAAATTAAAAAGCCCACTCACTAAACATCATCAGCATCATCAGCAGTTTCGCTTCCTTGTCATAGAGTTTTAACCTTTTTAGTTAATTTCTATCTTGTTAATTTAATTTCTATAGTAATTTAATGACTTAATTATTTCATTTGTTTATCTTACTAAGAAGAATTGCTTCAAATATGTTAAACTTTTCAAACTAAGTGAAACATAAATTAGGTATTGAAAAAATTAACTTTTTTATTTATAAAATAATTTAGCTTAAATAAAACTAAAACTTGCAAACTTTGCTAAATATAGAGCATTTGTTTCCTGTTTAAACAACCGTAAGTTGTTACTTTATATAAAAAAACATCGCTTAATTTTATAAAAAAAAATTATAACAGAGCGATATTTCGAAAATATTTGTTCTAAACGTAATTTATTTAGCTTAAAGTTTTTTCGTGTTAAAGATATTTTAATTGCCTAATTTTTTTTTTTTTTTTTGTAATTGTGTCTCATCGGTCCAATTAATCTTTCGCGCTTTTTTTTTTTTTTTTTTTGCTTGTTAAAATGTTCTCAAAACGACTAAAAAATCTGGCCAGCTTTTCGCAACTAAATATTATTTACGTGGTCAGCAATCGAGAGCGATCGCTGCCGCTTCTCGACCAAGCCTGAACAAGATAATAATGAAAACTAAATACGATGAAAAATAAAAAGAAGAAAAAGAAAAATTAATTTTTATTAATAAAAAAACAGGATAAAACTTATTTATATAAGTTAATATTTTTTCCTAAACTTTAAAGAGTTATTATTCTTATCCTCTCATCAAACTACATTTGTTGTATGTAAGTTTTTTTACTCGCTAGCTCATTAATCTCATATAGTTAAATGTTTGTATATAATTGTCATAATTAAAATCATATAGTTAAATGTTTGCACTACAATTAAAATCTTAATGTTAGAAGTCATATTAAATAGTAATAATTATTAATCATAATTGTGCCAGAAAAGAGCATTTGTTAGCCTTTGTTAGCTATGGTTATTTAGACTAAAATAAAAAGTAGTTTATATTTAAATCTGAAAACAAAAATTAGGTATAACAGGTTTTTTAACAACAAAATGTACACGTTAAACTTTAGTTTACAAAATAATGTCAATTGTATATTTTTTTCAGTCCATTAGTTTAACATTAAACTATTTAGTTAAATAGATTATGTTAACTAAAACATAACTAAAAAAGTATACAAATTAATACTAAAAATGTGAGTATACAAGAAAATTACAGGTATAGCATATACTATAAATACATAAAAAGAACTGCTTAACAATTGCTTGCATTCTCTATACATATCGTTTGACATTTGTTTAACAATGGAGAGGCCTTTTCAATATTTGCAATATGATCATTTACTTGAATTTTTGTTGAAGACTCTCTATGCTTTCTATAAATGAAAATTTTAAAATTTATTTTATTTTACTTA